TAACACCCAACGCTGTAGCACCCAACGCTGTAACGCCCATTGCCGTAGCACCCAAAGCCATAGCACCCAACGCTGTAACACCCAAAGCCGTAGCACCCAAAGCCGTAGCACCCATCACTGTAGCACCCAACGCTGTAACACCCAACACCGTAGCACCCAACGCTGTCACACCCATCGCCGTAACACCCAACGCTGTAGCACCCAACGCTGTAACGCCCATTGCCGTAGCACCCAAAGCCATAGCACCCAACGCTGTAACACCCAAAGCCGTAGCACCCAAAGCCGTAGCACCCATCACTGTAGCACCCAACGCTGTAACACCCAACACCGTAGCACCCAACGCTGTCACACCCATCGCCGTAACACCCAACGCTGTAGCACCCAACGCTGTAACGCCCATTGCCGTAGCACCCAAAGCCATAGCACCCAACGCTGTAACACCCAAAGCCGTAGCACCCAAAGCCGTAGCACCCATCACTGTAGCACCCAACGCTGTAACACCCAACACCGTAGCACCCAACGCTGTCACACCCATCGCCGTAACACCCAACGCTGTAGCACCCAACGCTGTAACGCCCATTGCCGTAGCACCCAAAGCCATAGCACCCAACGCTGTAACACCCAAAGCCGTAGCACCCAAAGCCGTAGCACCCATCACTGTAGCACCCAACGCTGTAACACCCAACACCGTAGCACCCAACGCTGTCACACCCATCGCCGTAACACCCAACGCTGTAGCACCCAACGCTGTAACGCCCATTGCCGTAGCACCCAAAGCCATAGCACCCAACGCTGTAACACCCAAAGCCGTAGCACCCAAAGCCGTAGCACCCATCACTGTAGCACCCAACGCTGTAACACCCAACACCGTAGCACCCAACGCTGTCACACCCATCGCCGTAACACCCAACGCTGTAGCACCCAACGCTGTAACGCCCATTGCCGTAGCACCCAAAGCCATAGCACCCAACGCTGTAACACCCAAAGCCGTAGCACCCAAAGCCGTAGCACCCATCACTGTAGCACCCAACGCTGTAACACCCAACACCGTAGCACCCAACGCTGTCACACCCATCGCCGTAACACCCAACGCTGTAGCACCCAACGCTGTAACGCCCATTGCCGTAGCACCCAAAGCCATAGCACCCAACGCTGTAACACCCAAAGCCGTAGCACCCAAAGCCGTAGCACCCATCACTGTAGCACCCAACGCTGTAACACCCAACACCGTAGCACCCAACGCTGTCACACCCATCGCCGTAACACCCAACGCTGTAGCACCCAACGCTGTAACGCCCATTGCCGTAGCACCCAAAGCCATAGCACCCAACGCTGTAACACCCAAAGCCGTAGCACCCAAAGCCGTAGCACCCATCACTGTAGCACCCAACGCTGTAACACCCAACACCGTAGCACCCAACGACGCGATCAAGGAGAAGGCGGAGGACCCCTTTTTCTCCTACGAACCACCTTCCCAAGTCTTCAAACAGCTGAGGGTGGACGAAGAGAAGCAAAGGTGGGTCTGAAGGTCCAACCCAACCTATTCCGTGATCTTCCACTAGCTCAGGTTGCTCCAAGCCCTGTCCAAACTGACCTTGAGCACTTCCAGGGATGGAGCACCCACAACGTCTTTGGGCAGCCCGTTCCAGTGTCTCACCAACCTCATTACTGTACATTTCTTCCATAAGTTCGGTCTAAACCCACCCTCTTTTGGTTTGAAGCCGTTGCCCTGGCCCAGGTTCAGGACCTCGCACTTGGCCTTGTTGAACTTCATGATGTTGGGACGGGATCACTCCTCCAGCCTGTTGAGGTCAACTGGAACCCTGAGTTTTGTCCAAATGACCTTAAAATGGGGGAATTTCCAAAAATTCCCATGTAAGATCACTTGCGGTCAAAGCCCAGCTCCTCCTTCCAGCCTCCAACCTCCTTGGCTGGAGGTCACCACTGTGCTCACGGTCATGGTGCCACCTCGAACGCCACCAGCATGCCTCCTGGTCCTCCAAAGTCTGTCTAAGGTTCTTGACCTGCTTTCCTAGGAAAGTTCTGAAGATGATAGACGCTCACAAGACCTTGATTGGAAGATGTGCTCCGCTGGCAAAGATGGTGGTGGAGATGGTGGCCTTGAAGAACTTAACCAGGGACCCTTTGCCTGACATCAGGCTTCCGATCCAGCTCCTCTTGAACACTGTGCACGGGCGCATCCTGGACGCCAGTAGAGACTCCTGCCAAGTGCACGTAAGGACAGCTGGCAGGAGGCCTTCTTCTGCTCCGTGGGGAGCGGTGGGGCTGTTTCAGCGCGGGATAGAATGTGTCCTTGGTTCCTACAGAGATTTTCAGCAGAACTGGAGAACTTTATTGTAGAAACCTGGGGTTAGAGCTGAATCCTGGGACTGAAAGAAAGGAAATCTTTCTAATCTTGCCAGAAAACTTAGGTTTTCAAGCGTAGGAGCTCCTCAGCAGTGGCAGCGGAAGCCTCCTCCCATTTGTCCTCCATGCCTTTCTGTCCTCTTTTTCAGGAAGAGAGTCTGAACGTGGCTTTGGAAAGCATCGCCACCAGGATGGACTCCTGGTTCAAGGACTTGTGAGTGGGGGCTTCCGGAGGGGAGAGGGGCCGCAGTACCTCCTTCGAGGATCTGGGGAGGGAGGGATGGAGCCCTAACCATGATCCGTCCGTTGCTTTGGTTTTTTTTGACATCTTTAACCCCATCGTGGCTGGAGAGCGTGGAGATCCACAAGGGTCGTGTCCTATCAACCTGCCCACGTTTCGCAGCCTGCGGGCAGCCCCCGTGGTCAGGTAGTGAAAGCGAACACGACCGCGAGGAGCGTTTGGTCCTTTCCTCGTGTCCGCAGGTGCCCGGCGGGGTCATCGGAGCAGCCGCTGAAGCCCACGAGCGAGGACGAGGTCTTGCAGTGCCTGAACTTGGTGTACATCTTGCTGAAGCAGCTCTTGGAGGGGCTGGTGACGGCGGTGCCCTTCAGCTCCGTGACAATTGCACTGCAGATACTCGGGATGTTCTTCAGCAAAGCGGATTTGCTCCGAGGGAATAAGGTGAGAACGAGGTCGGTGGCCTCCTCTGTGGCCGAGGAGAGCCTGGAGCTTCTGGCTCACTCTTCACTTCTTTGACTCCTCAAGGAATTCCAGCAGTTTACCTCAGCGGGAAGGTTTCAAGAGTTTTCACGGCTGAGCCCGCCGCGGCTGGCGCGACACTTTCACGGGGGGGCCCACGAGGGTTTGATCCGTGACGCATTCGATAAGTGGCTGAAGAAGGTGAGTTATGGAGACCCTCCGGCTGGCGGGGGATGGTGCTGCTGGTCTTTGCCGTGCTGGGTTTTGCCTCGGTCACCGTTTTGGTGGTCGGACTCGAGGAGGCTGGGAAGGACCCAGGAAGCAGCTGCCCTCCGAAGCTTTCCCTTGCCGTAGGTCAACGACAAACACCTCGTGGACTTCTACTGCGCTTTCCTGGAGAAGCACGACAACACGGAGTTGGAGAGCTGCTTCACGAGCCGTGTCACCCAGTGGATCGGAGACCTCGACAAAAGCAAGGTGGGAGAGCTGCCACCCCTCCTTGGGGTGGGAGGCCTCTCCGTCCCCCTTTGCCAATGCTTTTACAACTCTGTGGGCGGGGAAAGGTCCTCCTGAAACCACTGCGAGTCCACAAAGCCCCTCAAGAGGAGAAACTTCTCTTCCTTCCAGGAATCCATGCTGAACCTCGTGATATCCACGTTCTGCAAGATGAACCACCGTCCTCCTGGGAAGGTGCTTTCCGTCCTCGTGGAGAAATCGTGTTCGGAGGTGAAGAGGCTGCGCAGCGTCGACGTGTTCGATGAGACCACCGGCCCCGTGTTTGCAAACCTGCTCAACACTCCTGGACTCTGCGATCTCCTTTCTGCTGTCCGTGAGTGTCCCCTGGGTGGTTTGCTTGGGAGAAGCTCTTGGTTTGTGAAGCAAGCTAGGAAGGAGGAGCAGATCTTTTCACAGGGACCTGCCGATTTTGGTTGCGATGCAAAAGGAGATGGGGGGAAAAATGGTCTTCCACGCTAGAAAAATAAAGTTGCATTCCAGGAATGGAGGGACATCTCAATTTCCCTCCAGGAGTGGAGGGACGACTTGATTTCCCTCCAGGAATGGAGAGGTGTCTGGATTTCCCTCCAGGAAAGGAGAGATATCTTGATTTCCCTCCAGGAATGGAGAGACGTCTCGAGTTCCCTCCAGGAAAGGAGAGATGTCTCGATTTCCCTCCAGGAATGGAGGAACATCTCGTTTTCTTTATCCCATCGCTTCGTTGCACGCTCAGCAAGCGTGGGACTTCCTGTTGAGGGGAAAGATGTGACGGGGCCAAAGCGCGTCCACGCAAAGCTAGGCAGCAGAACAAGAGAGAGGTGGTGGCATCACCACGTTCAGAGGGTTTCCGTGGTTGGACAAAGCCTGGTCTGAGGCCAGTGTTGGCCCTTCGTTGATCACAAGATGGAGGACAGGACAGCTCATGGTGGCTGTAGCTTCTGGCACCACCAGAAAGACTGTGGGCTTGTGTCTGTAGCCACCCTTCCCGTCGTAGCTGTTGGCTGCGGTGGAATTGTCCCTTCACCACCCTTTGGCGAGAACAAAGCCACCCAGCATCTTCTCCTGTGCCCCAGCCTCTCCTGGAAGGTCTCCACGTCCACGTGAGCAGGTCGCTCAACTTCGGATGCGATCTCCTAGGTGGTCGCCTTGGTTTCTGTGGTGGTCGCCGTGGTTTCCGACATGGTCCGCGTGGTTTCTGAGGTGGTCACCGTGGTTTCCAAGATGATCACCGTGGTTTCCAAGATGATCTGCTTGATTTCCATGGCGGTCACCATGGTTTCCAAGATGATCCGTGTGGTTTCTGAGGCGGTCACCATGGTTTCCAAGGTTGTCACCATGGTTTCCAAGATGATGTGTGGTTTCCGAGGCGATCCACGTGGTTTCCAGGATGATCCACGTGGTTTCTGAGGTGGTCCACATGGTTTCCAAGGAGGTCGCCATGGTTTCCAAGATGATCCGTGTAGTTTCCAAGATGACCCGTGTGGTTTCCTAGATGGTCTCCATGGTTTGGTTCAGGCAGGGGGGATATACCTGAGTTTCCCAAAGGAAATTGGGAATTTTTTTTTCCAAGATGCTGGTTTTGATGGTTGAGGTGGAAAGCAACCACGCGTCTGTCCTCCACAACAGTGGGATGACAGAACCCCATGAACTGGAAGCTGTTGGCTCTTCCCAAGGATTCGGCTTCAAACAAAACACGGGAGAGAAATTGCCGGCTGCCTTTCACCAAATTTTGTTTATTTTCCAGGAGAATCGGAGCACAAGTTCCAAGTTCAGCTCAGCAAAGTGGCGAAAACCCTCCTGTCCCGGGTCTACACGCTCTCCACCTTCGTGGGAAACGGCGTCCTCTCAGGAGATGTTCCTTGCAGCGTCCTTGCCGGCGTCTTGGAGGAGCAGGAGGTGTTTAAGAAGATGCTGCACACCTGCGGTGAGTTTGGAGTTTCCAGCCAGGGTGCCTGCTCTTTGATACATGGCCAACAGGAGATACATCTCCACTTGGTTAAAACCCAAGGAAAGGGGGCGAGTCCTCCAAATCCTGCTCTTAGAATGAACTTTTTTGATATTTTTTGGTGTTTTTCTGGGGCAAGTAGTCCAAATTCTTCTTTAAGAATAAACTTTATTGATATTTTTGGTGGTTTTGGGGGCAAAACCTCCAAATTCTACTCCAAGAATGATTTTTTTTTGCTGTTTTTTTGGGGCAAGTCCTCTAAATTCTGCTCTAAGCATGAACTTTTTCGATATTTTGTGTGTTTCTTGGGGGGCAAGTCTTCCCAATTCTTCTTTGAGAATAAACTTTATCGATATCTTTGGTGGTTTTGGGGGCAAATCCTCCAAATTCTGCTCCGAGAATAAGCTTTTCAGTGGTTTTGGGGCAAGTCCTCCAAATTTCTGCTCCAAGAATGAACTCCATCCATATTTTTCGGTGGATTTTGGGGGCAAGTCCTCCAAATTCTGCTCAGATGATAAATTTTATCGATATTTCTGGCAGTGCTGGCAGCTTTGGGAAGAGGCTGCAGGCTTTCTGCAAACTGCCACGCTCATCTTTTTTTCGATGGCAGGGGTTGTGTTCCCTGCAACTTTTCTCTTTCCAAGGGGTTCTCCTTCACGTCTCGGTCTTTTTTTTGTTTTCCCCCCCAGATTCTTCTTTCTCCAAGTGTATAACGAAAGTGCTGGATGTCCGGAAGCAGGAGTTTGAAGAGCTGGAACGGCAGAAGAAGCAAAGATGCTCCTTTATCTGCCTGTGCCACTGCATAGAGGACATCATAAAAGGTACTGGTTGGGTTAATGGAGCTTCTTCTGCACTTCTTGAGTGGGGAAATGTCTCCTAAAACACGGAGTCTCACGGTGAGGTGGAGGGAACGGCGATGGGGCAAGCTGTTGACTTCACGGCTTGTCGTTATCGGTGGAGAGATGCATGACGTGAGTTCCTTCTCATTCTTCCCACCTGGTTTAGTGGACAGAAGTATCGTGGAGAACAGCATCGCGGACAATGAAAGCTTGAAGGATCAGATCTTGGTGAGGAAGTTCTCCATCGACGGCAAGAGTGAAATGGGATCGCACGTCCTCGACGATTACAGCAGCATGATGGCAAAACTGTACCTCGTGGAGGAGAGCCTCTGTTTCCGTAGGCTGTGGATGATGAGAGCAGAGCAAACCAAAGCCACAGTCCCAGAGGATCAAGTTTTCTCTGTTAAAGACGTTCAAGAAAAAATCTATGAGCCCGCCATCGCTGACTTTCGCAAAATCTACCTTTCCCTCAAAGACTTCTCCATCACCCTCGGGACCGTGCAGAAACAGTTCGAGAAGCTGCTGGGACGGAAGGATCAGCTCCGGGAAGAGCTTCAGATCATGGAGAACAGCGAAGGGCCAAAGGGTGGGAAAGCTCACTGGATCGCGGGTGTGGTAGAGAGGATCGAAAATTACCTGACCCTCTCGAAAGTGGTGAACACTGCCAAGATAATTGATGCTCTGAGACAGAAGCTTCAGCTGGAGGGCGATTTCCAGAACCTCAGTGACCTGACGAAATACGTACGTAGGAGATATTGGTGGGGATCGTGTTGGGGGCTCTTGGGAAATCCAAGCGGAAGGCCACACATGGTGGCTTCTGCTTCAATCCTGCTGGGTTCCTCCTCAACTAGACTCAAGGGATAGACTGGAGGAGTGACTTCCAGAGGCCTACAGAGATGAATGGCAGAGCTCAGAGGGTTGTCATCAGTGGTGCTGAGTCTGGTTGGAGGCTGGTAACTAGTGGTGTCCCTCAGGGGTCAGTACTCGGCCCAGTCTTGTTGAACTTCTTCATCAATAACCTGGATGAAAAGTTAGAATGTACCCTCAGCAAGTTTGCTGATGACACCAAACTGGGAGGAGTGGTGGAGACACCAGCAGGCTGTGCTGCCATTCAGAGTGACCTGGACAGGCTGGAGAGTTGGGCAGAGGTGAACCTGATGAGGTTCAACAAGGGCAAGTGCAGGGTCCTGCGGCTGGGGAGGGACAACCCCAGGCACCAGGACAGGCTGGGGGGGGGCTGCTGGGGGGGCGCCCGCGGGCGGGGGGCC